TCGGCAAAACAGCGGCACAAGGATGCCAGAGCTGGGGACGGGGGGGCTGTGCTGACAGCCGCATCACCAAGCCCTCAGGGAGCCTCTCTCCACAGCTTAGCAGAGGAACAGGGTCTGAGCAGGTTTGCGTGGGTGGGAATTAGAGGTGGAAAGCCATCCTGCAGCAACAGTGAGGTCTGTCTGAGGGCTTTTGGCTCTGGAAAGTGGCAGTAAGAAGTTTTGAGGTGGGAGGGTGCAGCCCTCAGCAGGGCACTGTGTTATGGTCTCTGCCTGTTTCCCACCAACACGGGGAGCTGCAGTGGGAGCAAAGGGCTGCCCGGGCAGCATTGGGCACTTGCTTAATAATGGCTCAACATTTGTTTCATGACAAAACAAAATTAGCGTAGGCTGAAGAGGCATTTACATCTGATTAGAAAACAGAAAAATGCAATTGTGCTGCTTACAGGATCAGCTACAAAGCGTTGATAATAAATCAAACAAAATAAATGGGCTGCTATGGAGCTGGGAAGCAACTGCCCGCTGTCTACAGTCACGGTGCAGCCCACATTGTTTTCATAAATATTGCCTGTGGAGTTGCTTCAGATGAGCTCATAAGATGAGGGCCGTTCACAGACAAGTCTGAACAGAAGAGGGAACAAACAATCATAGAATAGCAGGTTGGAAGGGACATCAAGGATCATCTGGTCCAAACTTTCTTGGCAAAAGCACAGTCTAGGCAAGATAGCCCAGCACCCTGTCCAGCTGAATCTTAAAAGTGTCCAGTGTTGGGGAATTCACCGCTTGCCTGGGGAGATTATTCCATTGGCTGATTGTTCTCATGGTGAGAAATTTTCCTGTTGTGCCCAATCGGAATCTCCCCAGGAGTAACTTGTATCCAAACAAAACCATGCTGCCAAAATTACTGGTGAAGAAAGCAGGCAGGAATTATGGGGAGCACCCAGGGACCAGCAGCTCCGTGCACCCGTCCCAGCCGTGGGCATCAGCAGCTCCCTGGCCACCAGCCCACAGGCGGGCAGAGGGGTGGTAGCAGATGAAGCAGTTCTGCCAGTCCTGGCGGGGTGACACCGCTCCCCCAAGCCCGGGGTCCCGCTTCATCCCAGTGACATCACTCGTGGTGAAGCCTCATCCCCAGGAGCATGGCTGCTGGCCTGGCAGCAGTCAGACATCGATGTCTCCACACCCTGCGGGCACAGCCATGCAGGTCTCAGTGCTCCTTTCTCTGGGGCACAGAGCGGGATCCCAGGGGACCAGAGAGGCTGCCCAGGGGCAGCTACTGCTTCCCACCACCACCTGCGTGGTTGCACACCCATCCTCTCCTCCCCGAGGTGGATGGCCAGCCCTGGTCATTGTCGCACACCTCATGCCCACAGTGTCCCTTCCTTGCAAAGGGGCTCAGTCCTCCAGACCAGGAGGAAAAGGGACCTGCCCTTCCTCTGAGGCAGGCCAGAGACCATAGCAGCCCTACCTCATCCTACCAACCCTCTCGCCGACCCAGCTCCACTCCCTGCAGCTGAGCACGGGTCTCTTCTGGCTGCAGAAGTCAGAGGGTGGCTCCTGGGGAGCATTTCATCTCCCCACTGCTTGTGGTGGTGGGTCACCCTTCACTCCTGTCTGAACCCAAACCTGCTCGTTAGTCTAAATATGGAGAGGTGTGGAGGTTTGAAAGCTGAGGCGGTTTTCCCAAGGCTTGCTCCCTTCATCTGTTGAGGGAAGGTATCTCCCCCCCCCACCAGGCTGGATGCATCTCCTCACCATTCAAGGAGACAGACCCCCTTCTCCCAGCGCATCTGCCCCATGAGGCAGTACCACCCAGCCACCAAGACCACAGGCAGGTGGAGATACCGTCCCTCACTGCTGGCCCAGGTTTTCCATTCTTCAACCCCTTCTCTAAACTTCATCCCATGTTCCAATGTCCTTCTCGGCTAGTGGATTTCTTCAGCATGAGGGATTGATCCCAATGAATCTTTGCAGTCTGAAAGTCAGGTCTCTGCTGACCATCACCTACACCCTGGTGGGGACAGGGGCTTCCAGGAGGAAGCTGAGCCCACCTGAAAGGTATGCATCAAGTCAACTGAGGTGGAATGTTTTCTGGAGATGCTTCTCACCCAGAAGAAGCTCAGCCCACAGATGCCTGCCTGGCAGAGCTGGTCTCAGAGACTGCTGGAGCTTGGAGAGGGGTCACGAGTGTTTTCCCATGGACAGACCCCTCCATCGACATACAGCTATTCCCAGGCTGCTCTGAAAGGCTTTGGTTGAGGAACAGGCAAAAGGGCCTCTTTAATTAGCCTGTCCTGCAGTAATTAGGAAGAGAGGCTGCTTCATGTGGAAGTGAGGTCAGGCTTGGTCTGCCTGAGGTTTTGAGGAAAGGTGTTTATGCCAGAGCCCTGTACTCAGCCACGGTAAGTGTCCCCCAGCATCTGCTCCAGCCCAGACCTAGGATGTACCCACTTAAGATGGGGATTAATGCAATTTAATGCTCGAATAAGCTCTCTTCATTTTTGCCCCAGCAGGACCAAGGTGCAGTGGCATCTCGCACTTGGGGAAGACTTCCTCCCTCCCTCATCCTCCTCCTCCCCTTCCCATGAGGTAGGTGATCTGCTGCTCTGCTTGGGGACTTGTGCTGCGGCCCCACTTTGGGCATCAGCTCCTGTGAAGGGTTAACAGGATTATAAACCTCCCTGCCTTTCTAAATCCCCTGGGCCGTGGGATTGGACTGGTTATAAACTTATTAACAGGGGACAGTTGCTGGTGGGGGCTGTGGACCCTGCTCTGCCGGCCAGGCCACTGGTCTGTCCTCCCCAAATTAATTGCGGAAAAACATGAGAATGATGGCAGGAAACTCACCCAAGTGAATCCATAAGAAAGAAGATGGAAAGAAGGAGGGGAGGGAAATGGCTGAGTATGGAAAGATGGGAAAACAACATATTTTTGGGAAAGATTTCAGAATGTGCCGCCAAGCTGGGAGCACAGCAGAGGCTTGGGAAGAGCTTTGACCCATCCTCAAGCTGTGAACATCCTCGTGCTCAAACCCAGACCCTGGCACAAGCCATAAACACGACAGCAATAATAACACAAAGAGGACTGGAGCAAGCGCCGGACTGGTCCTGCACCCCAGCCGTGCCCAGTGAGGAGCCGGCAGCAGGTCCGCACCCACCCAGCGCACGCACAGCGTGGTCCAGCCACCAGCCACGAGACCTGCCCAGCATCAATGGGCACCTTTGGGGCTGTTTTATTTCCCGCTGGGTCTGGCAAAGCTCCTGCACAAAAGCCACCATTGCAAAGCCTGCTTACAGCCTCCAGCAGCCACTCTTCAGAGGAGCGAAGCCATACGGGAGAACCCCCTAGGGTCACGCCAGCATCACTGCCCGGAGAAACCGGTGCTGAGGGACAAGCCGCTGGTCCAACCACAGCAGTCGCCACCCCGTGCCCTCTTGATGAGGTCCCACTGGCAGCTCATGTTTATTTATTAAATTCCTATTTCAAACTCTAAAATTAATCTTTTAATCAGCGGCAGAGCGGGGCCATACTTATTGGAGCACCAGGGAGGTGTTATCTCCCCGCCATCTGCTCGCCACCCTCCGCCACATCCCGGCGGAGCTGCCAGACAGCCGAACACCAGCCGGCACATCTGGCACCCGTCACACGCGGGGGCCGGTCCCCCGGCACAAAGCCGGCTGCCCCTCGGCCGAGGCTCTCCATCCACACAAAGCACATCCCAGCCGACAAAGCTGGGAGAGGTTTCGACCCAAAACCCCGGCATATAAGCAGATTTCTGAGGTAGAAAATGGTTTCTGAACATTTTTGCCTTGCAAGTGCAGGGAAGCAGGCCTTAGCAGCCCTGTGGGGCCAGGGATGCCCGGGGGACTCTGGTGAGGCTGCTGATGCTGCCGGGCAGGGGTGTAGCTCTGCCTGCCCCCGTACACACACCACGGCCCCATAACGTCAGCATCCATCAGTGGCACCAACCTGGCAGTGCTCCCCAAAACACACCCCACAAGGTCAAGCCTGTCCTGCGCTACCTCCTTCTGAGCAGCAACAGATTCTGCCTTTTCTGCGCCCAAAAGCAGCAGGGAAGCATCGGCATAGGACCCCAAACCAAACTCTCAGGTGAAGGTAGCTGTCGCCCCAGGGTTCTGCCCTCACCAGCCTGCCTGCACCCGCATGGGGTGCTGCCCGCCCCGCAACCCCCCAGCCCTCACTCCAATGACCTACTTCAGCAGGAGACGGATCGTGCCCCAGCAGCGTCCATGGTCCCCGGTGACTGCAGGGTGCCCGGGCTCTCAGTCCCCAGGGGGGACACCAAGTCTCAGCCAGCCCAAGAAAGCCTCTGCCAAGTCTCAGGATGGCCCCAAGAGCCTGCCAGGGCCCCTGCCGGCTCTGGATCCGGCCCACTGACCCCCAGTTAATCGGCTAAAGCCGCACGCTCTGAACCCTGGCCCCGGCCGCAGCCGCACTCCCGCCGGCTCTCTCTGCCCTACATAGACATCTGCAGCTGCTCAGCACCCGCCTTCACCTCACATCCCCTCCGCCGTGCACGCCACCTTCCCTGCACCCACATGGGGGTCCCTGCCTCGCACCCACCTGTCCCCCAGGCACCGGCACAGGGTGAACACAGTCCCTTTGGCAGGGGGGGCTGGTTTTGCCAGATGGGAGAGCCCAGCACCAGGGCTGCAACAGAAGCAAGAGCACCCACAATAGCTTGCAGAGGCTGTGGGTGCTTTCCCAGCTGCTGCCTGCAAAATAAGTCCCCCTCCCCACCCCTGGCTGATACCAGCCTCGCCTGTGCGCTCTCCCTCCCAGGGAAGCTTGGATGCGGGTGCTGCGGGACTCCCACAAGATCCTGCCCTCCGGAGAGGGGCTACCAAAATGAATTGAATTAAACCCCGCAAAAAACCATGGGATCACTGAACATATCCTCCATAACGCTGTTCCCAAAGATGGGGTCCGAAACGCCGAGCGATGCCCCCGTTCCCGGCGTGGCAGCATCCTGCCCTGCTTACCAGTAAATGAGAGAAAGCCCATCGAAGCGCTCCAGGTCGCGGCCAGGGGGCTGGAGGTAGGACATCATCCGGGGCCACCCGTCCCCGCCGAGCCCTTAGGGCTGCCGTGGCCGGCTCCTGCTGCCCAGGGCCATGGGCTCAGAGTGCCAGCGGCCGGCACGGCTCCCTGGCATGGCTCACCGCTGCAGCCAGCTACATCTAATCCCAGGCGGGCAAGCATGTGATCGCCCCTCTCCTGGCTCCCCCCGGCTAAACCCTGCCAATGTCTCCAGTTCTGTGGTGCTGGCCGGGCACGGAGCATCTGTGCCGCTGCCCGGGGATGCTGCGGTACGGCTAATTCCAGCCGGCAGGTCTGAGCCTCCCTCCAGGGTCGGAGCTGCTGAGGGCACGGCACGGCGAACGCCTCCACTGTGGGACCCCGCAAAGGTGTCCCATCGCCGGTGTGCGGCCGTCAGCGGAGCATGCGTCCCGCTCTCCCTGCCCAGCACGGCCCCTTAGTTCAATAACCTGCGCATTTATTTCAGCAGGATGACCCCTTCACCCCCCTACCACTGAGGTCCCCCCCTCGCCTTGCACTTGCAGTGGCTGTTAATGATGGTTATAATCATTAACGATGGTTATAATCGATGGTTAACCAGCCACCACAAACTGTTTAAAGCCAATTGCAGGCATTGCCGACCTGCCTTAAGCCCGGACTGCGGTGACACGCACTGCTCCTCTCCTCCCCAGCCGCTGCCAGCAGGCTTCAGCATTTCTGATTATTTATATAATGTGGGGCACAATTCTTGCATGGGTTCCCCCCCCCTGTTTAAGGTCATCTGGGCATACCCTAGCATCCAGACGATCCTTTAGACTATTAGGAAAGCCCTGGGAGTGAGCACCAGCAAGCAGATGGAAACTGTTTGAAATGGGGTGGGCTCATCCATATAAATTATCCCAGAGTGGTGAGTTCACAGCCTGTCCCGTTGTGCTTCCCTGTATCCAATTGTGGGTGGGATGGACAGACAGCAGGACGGGCAGACAGGTCCCTGATTCAGGGTGGTGGAAAAAAACTCAAATAAGCATCAATCCACTGCATGTCGCGTATTTTATTTCTCCCTCTCCCCATCAGGCATGGTCCCATGGCACCAGCCTGGGGTGGCCGGGACCTGGGGATTAGGTGAGTCCCAGGAATTACGAAATGCATCTATCTGTCCCTGTCCCGCACGGTCCAGGAAAGCTGCTAGCCCCACCAAGGGCCAGGTCCTGTGCCCGCCACTCCTCCCAGCTCCAGGTAATGCTGGGACACTTGGGGACTGACTGGGGAAAACATCAAATGGTAGAGATGGTGGCAATCTGTCTGTCTGTCTGGCCACTGCTGCCCAGCCCTGAGCCGAGGCGTCCCACGGGCATTGGGCACGGTGGGTGTCTGGGGACTCGGTGGTGGCTGGTGGCATCTCCAGCCCCAGTCAGGACACCTCAGTCCTTGGGGTCAATAAAGCCGGCCCGGCTGTGACGAAGAGGAGGAAGGAGGCTGGCGGGCAGACATGGCAGCCACCCAGAAGGATGTGCCCGTGCCCGGGGTGACAGCCCGCAGGCACTTCTCGCCGGGCGTGAACGAAGCTGCCTGGGAGAAGGGGGTGAATTAAGGCTGATCCCGCTCAGCATCCTTTCCAAGTGACTGTGCAGGATGTGCCGGTGCCAAAATCCTTTTCACCGGCCACCTCCCAGCCCGGTGACAGTCCCGTGAGGAGGCACAGTCCTCCCCCCGGGACAGCCACCACCACTGCGGCTTTGTGCCTATGCATCTTTCAGGGTGCAGGTCTGCTTTACACCCTGCCCCAAGCCAGCCCTCTATCCATGCATCCCTGGCCAGGACCCCTGTCCGTATTAGAGGCACCCCATGGTGCGTTTGGGATGCACGACCTTCCCCAGCCCAGTGAACCCTCCTGCCAAGGGGTGCCGGTACCCCATGCTGGTGCGGGGAGAGCCACCTACTCCCGGGGCTGTCGCAACCTGGGGCCGGGCGGTGCCGGGCGTGAGCCCCGGGACCGGTTTCTGCCGCTGGGAGAGGACGGGCAGCAGGGTTTGCCGAAACCGCTGGGAGCGGGCAGGCGCAGGGGTGTTGGGGTGCTGTGGCCGGCTCGGGGCTGAGCTGGCCTCTCCCAGTCTCACTGGTTGGGGTTGTCAAAGGCGGCGTCACCCTGCTCCGGGGCAGGACAGCGCCCAGGGGCCGTGGGGATGGCGAGGCCACCCCAATCCTGCCCTGGTGCCGGAGGTCCAGCTCCGACGAGGTACCCGGTGCCCTGGGGCATCGTTTCCGCCTCCCTCCTTGCAGCCACTGGCAGCCCCCAGGGACGGCCCACGGATGCGTCCCCCCACTTGCCCACAGTCATCGGGGGGGGTCACAGCTTGCCCCGAGCTGGGCTCGTGGGGTGAATCATAGAGGCGTGCTGGGGAGCGAGGAGCGCGGCGCTGCCTTGCCCCTTCCTCAGAGAGTTTCCGTGCTGGCGGAAGCGGAGCATTATCTCCCTCACCCATCAGAGGCAGCTGCCCATGGGTGCACTCCATCTGCATATTTATACAGATGCAAACATTATACCCAGGAAATTCTCAGCCTTTACATCACGGGCCAAAACCTGCTGTGGAGGCTTGACCTTTTTCTCTCTTTCCATGGCTCCTGGGGAGACTGTGCCAGGGCAGACCCTGCCTTGGGACACCCTGGCCAGGATCTTGGCCACGGGTGATGCTCCCCTTCAGCATTGGGACCACTGCAATGGTTTGGGTCTCCAGGGGCACATGGCTCACCTCCGAGGTCCCAGAAGACCAGGGCTCCCACACAGGTGTCCAGGGCTGCAGCACCATGCCACGCAGGAGGAGGAAGGGACACCTGGGTGTCCCCCCTGGGGAGCTGGGATTCCCCCCCACCCTCTCCACCCCTTTGTGAGGCAGGAGAATAAGGACCAAGAGCAGCTGCCACCACCCTGGATGCAGCGAGCGCATCGTGATCTTAAAATCCTGATGCCACCAGCCCCGTCATACCGTCCTCAGTGCCTTTCTGAAAGCCGTGGCTGGTGACACAGGATAGGGACCTGCCAAGGTGGGGGTGTCCCCCTCTGCCCCCCCCCCCCCCTCCAGTTCGGTGCAGATGCCCCCCATCCCTCCTCGATGCCTTCTGTGCCTGCCACCGCTTGCTGCCTCCAGCCTGGCACCCCCAGCACCCCAAAGCCACCACCCCAGTGTGCTTGGCTGCACCGCTGGTGACAACACAGCTCCTCTGCTCTGTACCACACCGGGAGGATAAGGAAGAGCCAAATTTAATTTATTCCGTGCTGCATTTTCATGCCAAATGAGTCAGAGCGCCGGCCTCGCTCAGCCTTTGTTTTGCTTGGCTGCTAGCACCAGCTTTTGCTTAGTGTTTGTTCAATATTTAACTCCCTTGATGGCACTTGGGCTCAAACCAGCAAGTGCAGCAGAAAAAGCCACTTCCCTGCTGGGGCAGGAGCTTCCCCGTCCTTCAGCTTCACTTGGGAGCGATGCACTTCTTTTATTCAATTTATTTCTCACAGCTTGATGGAGCTCTGGGCTTGGAGCTTTGAGCCACCACATCCCACAAGACCCATTTAAAAAGCTATCAGGGCTTGCAGGGGCTGCGGAATGGGGCTGGAGCAGCCAGGCTGGCTGCTGATTTCACAGCAAAACCAGCCTTAAACGGAGCTGAGGAAGGTTTCGCCCAGCACAGGACCAGTTAGGAACGAGCACGGCTGCATTCCTGCGCACGTGGGAGCCGGTGAGAAGGAAGCGGCAGCGTGAAGGTGTTTCAGTGCCCTGCTTTCCTGCGCCGCACCAGCTGCGAGCGGGAACTCCCTTCCCACCCCAATAGCCAGCAAACCCCTGATATGGGAGCAAGCGGTTCAGCTGGCCCATCAAAGGACTGTCAAAAAGTCCCACCCAGAAAATAAATGAGGTTTTGGCCAAACCACTGTTAGTTTGTGTTCCACCGACTGTCTCAGCTTTTGGAAGAAATTTCCAAATTTTTTTATCCCCCCATCCAAAGCTAAATCCTAAAATTCTACATTGGGAAATGCCGCTGAAAAGCCCCCAGGGCTGAGCATCCCCATACCCGGCTCCCCTGCTGCGATGGGTCCCCAAAACCCCTCGGCACCGCACGACACACTGGGGCTGCCGTGACTTTTGGGGCACGTGGGGAGGGGGATGCTGCTGCCACGATGCTGGCTTGCCCCACCAAGCCCCGATGCCTTCCCGAATTAGGATGGGCTTGCGTGGGGTGGGACAGTGGGACGCGGTGGGATGGCCAAGCCCCTCACAGAGCTGTCAGCAGGGAGCAAGACCCCAGCAGCTGATGCCCATCCTGCACCTCTCAGCAGAGGGGTCCGCTTGGCCAGTGGCGATGGGGACGGTGCAGGGTGGAGCAGGCGAGCTCAGCAGGGTGTGGGATCTGCGCCGGGGAAGGGCTTGCCAGGAAAATGCAATCTCGTTGCATAAAACATGCTCCTCTCCTGCTCCCCTCCCGCGGCAGCAGCTCAAGAGCTTCTTACCCAAGTTAAGTCAATATTGGCACATCGCTGCCTCTGTTGAGGTGCTCACCCTCAAGGAAGGAGCTCAATGGGTGTTTTAAGGGCTGGAGAGGAGTCACGGGAGTACGGCTTGCGGGGGGTCCTGGTGGGCTCCATCCCTGAGCGTGGCTTCCCGGTGTCCCCGGGAGCAGCACCCCTGGGGCTTGGCATCCCCCCATGAGTTCCCGGCTGCCCCGCAGTGGGGCCTGGCAGCTCCTCGGGCACGATGGGGCCAAAGCTCTCTCCCCAGCATGGGCTCCTGGCTGGCGGGACACCCCTACTTCTCTATGCTCAAGAGACTTCAAAAGAGCTGGTGGCACCGGGTCTGGGTACCGGTATGGGGTGTGCCAGCTCCTGCAGCAGCAGGAGCTGGGGGGGCATGGAGCACAGTGGGGACCAGCTGCACCAGTAAAGCCACCAAAAGGCTCATCTGCAAAATAAATGCTACAAAAAACCTCCCCTCCCATCTCAGATCTGAGCTGCAGCTCCAGCAGACCCCAGCTGGGGAG